AATATATTGTTTTGGCTTTTTTCTCGTGTATTTTTTATATGTCTAGGATCACTCTTTCCTCATACACACCACTTTGCATAATGACTTTAAGAATCAAACTCCACTCTCAATACACTATTAGTCTCTATAGAACAAAGATGTTTGAGATTAAAAAGGGCAGGCTAATGCAATAGCTGTACAAGATCTTCTATTTCTGTGCTTTTCAACCACAAAAGTAAAAGATGCTCTTCAGCTGCTTATAAATCCCTAACAACATGTGGATAAGACATGTATTGCCTTCAGATTCTCTGAAAAGAACCTGAACCAGGAGTTATTTACCCTGTATGCATCCCAAAAAGACCAGGAACTGGCACTGCAAATCACGACAATCCTTGCTTTTCAGTTTTCCAAGATGCCTGACATATTTTTCTGTGTAAGATTTAGCTCCAGGTACAATAATACATTGTCAGATATGTTTATATTTATGCAGAAATGAACTCCTGTCTCCTACCTGAATGCTCCTTTCACTCACTCAATTCCTCTAGCTTTGCTTCCTACCCTGCATTCCCTCTAGGCGGAGGAAAGAAACTTTTCTTCTGCTTGAGGAAGTATAGATATCCACTTGTATAATGTTACATGCCATGTTTTGACAGGTATTTCAGACAGCTGAATTTAGCTTAGCCAAAAAACCATTGTAATTCAAACTTTTGTATGTGAAAGAATGCCATTTAAACAGAAGCCCATTGCATTAACCTTCAGTGCAGCATGATTCACATTATTTTAAACATAGAATTTCTCATGGTGAGAAAGCTTTGCTCTTCATGATCAGAGCTCCACAGCAATTGTTGAGCCTACATCGATGAAGCACAGAGCCACAAAAGCACTTAATTATGCCTTCGGAGTACTGCTCTAATACCAGTGTTTACCTCTGAGGCTACAACTAAATTGCATGTTTCTGGTCTAGCAGAAAAAGCTTTCCAGAGTCAGTGTTCATATTGCTGTGGGGAAATGCACCTAGTCTTTACATAATCTCTATATAATAATTATTATTATTATTTATAAGACCACGTAGGGAGTAAAAAAGCAACAGCAGCTCCATCTTCATGTGCTGTTAATAAGAAGCTGATTTCAGAGAGAAGAGCCTCCTTAAAATGAATAAATGAACACAACAGCTTCCCATCGTTTTAAACAGACTTGAGGAGTGTGTGAAAAGTACTCTATGCAAACCTTTCCTAGGTTAAACACGCCTGTTGGCATAGCACCAAGTTGTTCCTTCGCTCCAGTTCATATTCATCATCTCTACTGAATAAAATATGATCCCCAAACAAGATCAGGAGCCTTGTTTACTTTAGGCACCCATAGCTGGAAGGAAAAATCACTCCTCCAAAAGCATAGTATGCAAATCAACAAGCTGGAAAAAGAACCGTGGGGAAGAGCAGAGCAACGCAGTGCAATACGCACAAATGTACATATGTAAAACACATTATCAGCTTTAAATAGACAACTCTTAATGGAAAACAATAATTAATGTTCCTGTAGCTTCAGTAACATTAACAATTATTATAATGATTTCTCATTAAAGAAAAATTTGATCTTGACTGAATACGCTCATGTAAAATATTTCATTATGATCACCAAGGTAGCAGTCTACAGAAATATTTATGATGTTGTAAAGCCAGAGAGATTTATTAAATTTTTAAACATATTCTAGTGTTCCTTCTGAAAAACAGTTAAGGAACTGCACAGATACGTTTCTTGCAGCCATTTTCTTGCATGCCCTGGACCACCAGATTGGAGCTCCAAGAGGTGAAACACTAATTTAGGTATTGCATGCTGGAAGCTTTATGGCTTTTTTTGTGGGTCAGGACAAAAAAATAATGCCATATAATGTATGTACGGAACAGAACTGTTGCATTTGTTTGTTTTTGATGGGGTGAACAATCTCTGTGGATTCAGCTTGCTTTATGATCACTAGGAAAACCAAGCTTCCACCCCAGCTAGTGAAGACAAAAGATGAAGCTGACTTTCCTGCTTCAAAAAAAGGACTAGAGGGACAGAAATATTAGGATTATATATGATTATATAGAATCAAAAGTTAATTCATTTGCAGTGACTTATCAGCTGCACTTTGCCTGTTGCCAAACAGTTTGATGGATGATGTTGTGCACACACATCTGCCTTTACAGAAGTGGGACTTGCTACTTAGCGAGCATCCAGGCAGCACATACAACAGGAAACCTGCTTTCAGTGGCACTCCCCAAAAAACATTCTCACTCAAAAAAAAAAGTGCCTCGCCCCACATTTGACTGCAACCCCTGATCCTATGACACATCCTGATGTTGGCATTCTGTTACATATTTCAATAACACTGCAATCATTGGTTGCCTTTTTTTTCAGATGAGATGGATAGTATATTAAGGTCAGCCTGTTTGAAATGTAAATGAAGCTAAGCACTCTTTGTAGTCATTTCATATAAGGGGGATTGCTGATATGGCAATTCAGTTGCTTAAAGGTGATGATATTACTGATCAGGTGACTTTTATAAAACAAGCTCTCTTTTATCAGTTCTGGATAGCAATGTATGTATCACCACCCTGCAGTGAGAAAATAAAACTATGATGTTTGAAACTTCCCAAATTTCTGTTACAGTCAGTCTACAGACTAAGTTTGTGTAATTTCTTCATTTACATCTGTGCCATATGCACTTCTTCTTTTCTTGCTATTACAAATAGAATACTTATACAGAGAGGATCCATGAGAAATAAGGCAGCACATTTGATGCAAATATGAATGATACAGGGAAAGAAAAGTATCTTATTATCTTGTAAATTACACCTTCCAAATTAAACTGGTGGTGGTCTGACACTGTTTTGCCTTAGAAGAATAAAAATACACAGTGACATATCTGCTTAAGTATCACAGTTTGAGAAACATGTTCACACTTAATTTGGGGTTGGAGTACTTGAGCAGCTTTATCCTCAGCACTTAGAGGCATGTAAGGGGTTATATTTCACGTTTAGGGTTTCACAGAGTAATCCCATTTTGAGGGCTTTTTTTTTTTGCTTATATATAAGCACACATACACACATGTACATGCAATATAGAGTAACAGGCTAAATGTGACTACGGCACCTGGGTATTACAGCAGTGCTGGTATTAAATCAGAATACCTTGCCCTCAGTGAAACCCACTCTGTGAGATCTTAAGCTCCAGCCTTTTGTAAAGCAAAACAAAAAGGACTGTGACTTGTATTACCCTGGGAATTTAGGGAAAGATCTGCAGCATATGGCCTGGTACTCAAATCACTGCTAGGATATATACATATTTATTGTTACTTTATTATCATTATTTCATAAATCTGTGATGGACAGAGACTTGGAATGGACTCCGCATTAGTATGACCCACTATTGAGTTGAATGACCCACTATTTTATAAGCCATTTTCCTGATTCCAGCCCTTTAGTACTCTTACTATTTTTGTTAATTTATAGATATAAGACTAATGTATTAACGTATTTGTAAATATATTTATGTAAATAATTTGTATTGTGGAGTCCTTTGCTTTTGTTCAGATGTACAATGAATTCTGTTTGCTCCATTTCAAGCCATTACTTTAAGAATGGAGCGTTCCCCTCATTGCTGTTTGGGCAGCTGTCCGTTGCACAGATCCAACTCCTGTAACTCTGACTGTCATTTCAGGAAGAAGTTTCTCAGGATTTGCAGGCAATCAAGGTACTTGGTACAAACAAATCAAAGAACAGATTCATGGAAACCTTAACTGTCCCTAAGAGAGAGTTTTCTGCCACAAGTCCTATCTCCAGGAAAAACCCTCACTAAAATAACAGCAAAACTTGTCCCAAGTGAGGCTTAGCAAAAAGCAGTGACTGGATGCAGAAGACTTGTGGACAAAGAGACAGAGCTGGCTAGGCATGGGTATAGCTTCACAGATCTCTGCTTACCACCTCAGACACACAACATGTTACTGCAACTGTCTGCAGGATGCAAAGTTTCACTTTTTTCAATAGCAGATCAGCAGGTCATTGTATCGCTCCACTGCTTTACACCAGGCACAACCAGCACACAGTGCAATAGAAAACAAGAGCTCTCTAAGCTATTTTGAAATATGATATTATTTGTCAATGAGGACATTAGATAATATAATGCCTGTCAAAACGATTACATAAAAATTAAGCATAGAATTTAAAAAATCCTTAGACTAAGATTTAGAATGAAATTGAGTGTAAAAAGTAAAAGTATTTATTGTCCTAAGAAATGGAGTTAATTGTTTATTTACATACACCATCTTATGCACAGGTTTGGATGTACTCTAGTGGAACATGTGTGAGTTACAGCTTTAAAAAAATATTTTGCTTATCCACTTATGACAACATTAAATCATAAAAATTAATTTTATACAATACTTCTCAGTATTAAAAATGCAGCTGAAAATCGTTACTGTCTGCTTTTTTATTCTTATGGAAAAGGGAAGAATTCATTTTACAAATGGGAAACTTCAGAGAAAAATATTTTGTGACTGAAGAGTAGAGCTCATGAATTCTTGACTTTTAGTTGAGCCAATGGGTACTGAGGAAAGGAAGAAATAGAATGTCCCTTTGATAAAATGTCTCTGATAAAATATCAATGTTGCTGTCAAGCAGTAGCCATTTTGGGAGTGATTACTTCTCTTTACGAATAAATAAAGCATAAATGGCCTAGCAATTGAATAGCTTGTCAAAAATGAAACTTCTGTACGTGTAAAAAGGACTGATCTTACTTCCAAGAGTTTTGTAGAATGATAAATGAAGCAGTACCTGCAGGCTGGAACAAGCAGAAGCAGACATATAACCTGACTGCTCACTGCGGAAATGGAAGCTCAACTCAGATCACTTCCATTTTCTGAAGGGTTTCAGCAAAGGTTACACAGGATTTCAAACACAGAATGTAAACAGGACAAGAACTGGTGTTATTGCTGGCATTTTTAGTGTTTACTAATTTGCCTAAATACTAAAAATGTCTGCATAATTTCACTATTTAAATCCAACAATGTAAGTGCATTGACATTTTAGGTCAGTCAGTTTGCTTTTAGTTTAGAAATGTTTTCTTCAAATTCTGCTAAGAGAACCATGGAAACAGAATTGCTTGAAGAGTGTCTGACTTGGGATTCTGCTTTCTGTTCAAGCAGTTTTTTCATATTCTGTGGAGGAAAAAGAGAAGATAATGATTAGAGAACATGGCAGTGACAGGGTGCTCTGTGCCCTTCTGCAGGTCACCATTTTAATATATGGCTGATTGGCTTTCTTCCCACTTGAGATCTGAGAGAATGTTCACAGGACACTCAAGTACAAGGCAGCTCTTGGAATGATTGCTCAAAAAAAAAAAAAAAAAATCTTCCCATTATTGAAGAGATGATAGCTCACAATACATGAAAACATAACTAAATTAGGGGGAAAAAAATGGAATTTTCCATTCATTTATTAAAAAAACCAAAAATTTTTACTTCTATAGCATGAGTAAAATTTTGCAAAACTGGAAGATGAGTGCTGTCAGATGCGTGGCACATATGGGCTTTCCAGCCTGTATTTTTAAAAGAATATTGATAGGATTCTCTTTGATCTATGTGGATTGTCAGTCTTTTTATCAAAGTTTATTGGAAATGTTGCTAATAATTGGGAAAAGTAATGGACTGAACATAAAACTTGATTAAGAGCAGCCAATTTGATTCCAAGGATGAACACACAATGAATACCTGACTGTCTGGCTGAAACTGGTGCAATCTTTTGGGAATAATTTGTATGAACATGGTACCACCTGGACCCAGGAAATTCTGTTAGGTTCCTCCTAATGAACCCCCAAAGGACCGGTGCTGAAAAGCACATCTAAGTCAGGCCATCTGGAAAAATATCTGCAATGTTTTTGCTGTTTGTATTTTGCTCCATTTTGTTATGGAGGAGCAATTCATTTTTCCCTTAGTCATCAGAGAAATCTGTTCCCATTGCATACAAAGGGACAACCATGCCAGGATCTGGCCCTAGGAACTCTGGGGTTGTGAACCCCACTTGTGAGTATCCAGGTGGGAAGCAGGTTCCATGAGGTCTCCCACTCATAGGTCTGCTCAAGGTCTCTGCATCAGGAGTGCACCCACCATGCTCCTCTTCCTGACTGTTGGATGCCTGCTGGCTGAAGATTTCTGTCCAATTGCACTGCATAAACTTTTCCCTTCAACTAAGAGTTTAGTAGTAGGAGTCCTAGTGCAAGTGGGAATCATATTGTGAACAGTCTGACTGCTGTAAGTCTTTCTACATGTTTACATATAAAATACAAATTAGCATGTGCTTATTCTATATAATAGAAGCCAACTGCCTGGAAGAAATCCTGCAGTAACCCACAATTTATTGTAACAGTTTACAACTTACAGTTTACTCAAGGCAAACATTTAACTTCAGTGACAAACAGCGCAGTATTTTTTTGGCAAAGGCAACTGTGAACTGTCTATACAAGTAAAGGGTTTTGTTCTGGGTAGCAATTAAAGTAAGAACTTTTTACAGAACAGACTTCAGGCACTGCTGTGTCGCGAGTTAGTCACACCACACAGAGTCCTCTTACCAGGAAGATTTCTTTATTGCTGCAGTGATCATGATCATGATGTATGTCTCTCTCTCTACTTTCTAAAGCAAGCCTTTTATATTCTAACATGCATGTTCAGTACATTTCCACTACCAATCCATTGGACAGAAAGCACGTAAATGCCGTAACAAGTCTTCATAATCAGCAGAGTTTATCTTAGGCTAGCTACAAAACACCCCGTTTATTCAGACCCCTTGTCTCTTTCCCAGAGCCTCATTTTCTGTTGGAACACTCTGGATGTAGAGGGGGTAGTTCTCCTTGGCAATCATGGTGATGCACACCGCTATCTTGTCCCCACCTCCTCTCCACCTATCACTTTAAGCTCTTGTTTCCCTTGTTGCAGCACGCAAATCAGATTTGGTCTCCCCTGCGAGACCTTCTGAGACCAGCAAACCTGAAGTTCACCGGTCGATCCTAAACTTCTATCACCCTGTGGGATGTTGGTTCGTTGGGGCGGATTAGGCTGAAAGGAAATCAGTTGTGCTATACGACTTCCTGCAGGGACAGTGCAAGGTGGGGCTGGTGTCCGCAGCATTATCTCAATTTCCCCAATGTAATCTGCACCAACACCAAGCAAAACAAAAGGATCACCCATGTAGCAGAAGACCATTCCATTAAGAGTGCTGCCATGCTGTTTCCCAGGGGTCCATAAATACCTGTGTAGCTAAGGCGAAGGTGGTATCATTTAGGATTGTGTCTGAGGAGGCGGCCAAATCCATGCCAGTGCTACCCCAGGTTCTGGCATACAAGCTGCTGCAGCTGCTTGAGGGGAATTTACTGTCATCATGTGCTTGAGGGGAATTTACTGTCATCGTGTGCCCCCCTCCCCCCTTGTGCTCCTCCCGCCGGAGGAAGCAGTCGGCCATTGATACCATGTTTTTACCAATAATCTCTTGCTCTGTGGTTGCCCTTCTTGCATCTTGGGCATAATTGCTGTGATTTCCTGCCCCTCCATGGACACTTTGCGCGAGCATGACCAAATTGGTTACAGTCAAAATGTGTCTGCGCTGTTGGTTAAGAGATAAAGCAGCAAACGCCTGGGCCACTAGCACAACTTGGTGTTGGTGCGTGCCAACATTCATACAGGCATTAATCATATCCTCAGTAGTGGGATTGCTATAAAGCATGTAACACCTGCCAATCAGCGTTTGCATTTTCAGTTGTTAGCTGTTGAAATATAAAAGCTCTCGCCTGTGCATTATCGACCTGCTTCTCTAGCAAATTCTTAAGCCTATCCAGAAATGTCATATATGGTTCTTGGGGCTGCTGTTTGATGTTCACAAAAGACTTTCTCTGCTATCCTGCCTCAGGCACGGCTCGAAGAGCACGCATTGCCAGCTGCTTAACTTGCTGTAACCCTTCTACAGGAATTTGCACCTGCTGAGCTGGGGTGGAGATATTCCCCTCCCTCATCAAAGCATTCCCACCTACAGCCCTGAGCGGATTTCTCTGCAGCAGCACTTGATTTTCAGTCACCTGAGTCTGTGACAATCCTCTCAATTTCCCCGCACAGCATACTGCATATCGATCATGATAAGATGACACTTTAAAATCATTTTAAAACCATGCATTGCGAGAACGGAGCTATTACATACAGATTGAATCCAGTTGACAGTATAAGGGTCTGTGGCTGTACGCTGTAAATCTCGCAGGATACTATACAATGCAGCCCCCCCACTGTGGCTCTTGTTCTGGGTCTATAATCACAGGAAAAGCCCATAACATATCCATGTCTCCAGCTTTCCTAGCCTCCCTCTGAACGAGCGCCCATGCATCGTGTGGATCGGGGGGAAACAGATCCGGCTCTTCATCAGTTTGTCGGGCCAGGATCAAAGGGATCATCAGGGTCCTCAGGAGGAGGGGTGGCAAGCTTCCCCGCAGTGGTGAGGGGGGTGCTGGCAGAGCGGGTGAATCTGAGGAGCCTGCAGCTCCTTCATCCTTGGGCAGACTGGGGGTGACCAATGATAGGCCCTGGATGCCATCTTATCACCTTTAGTGGATGCGTCCCACTATTTCACCCCGATCCCTTCCCAAGTCTCTGGCTTGTAAACTGTCCAACTAGTGATGGAGGGATCCTTTCTGGTGGCCCACGCAAGCATTTGCTGTAGATCAAGGGAGGATACTCACACCCCCTGTCGTTTGAGTATATATTGAAAGGTAACTAAGATGTTTTTCTGTTCTGAGGTCATTTTGTTCCCCATGGTGTGCACACTTACCTTCATCCAGCAATCGAAACAAAGGGATGACGAATCCTCGGTCTGCTGCGTTTACCTCAGCGCTCCCCTTTCCACGTTTTTTCTCAACACCTGCCATATATTTTCCAACGTGCTCTGGACTGGTCAGTCTTCAAGTTAGGCTAAGTCTCTGGTCAGGTCCCTGTTTGGGCACCAATTATCACGAGTTAGTCACACCACACAGAGTTCTCTTACCAGGAAGATTTCTTTATTGCTGCAGTGATCATGATCATGATGTATGTCTCTCTCTCTCTACTTTCTAAAGCAAGCCTTTTATATTCTAACACGCATATTCAGTACATTTCCACTACCAATCCTTTGGCTAGAAAACAGGCAAATTCCATAACAAGTCTTCATAATCAGCAGAGAGTTGGCACACTACTATATAAATTATATTCCCTACTGCAATCCTTGAAAACACCCTTCTTAATTAAGTGCTCAAATATTTTCCATCCCAGAAACAGATGAGATTATCTGATTCCATTTGCTCTCAACAAGGAGCACAAAAGACTCCATAAACCCCCTCAAAGACTTTACTTCTGCCAGTTATTTGTGTGAAAGGCCCCAGACGCGGCATTCAGCCACAGTCAGTGTGAAAGCAAAACAAAGAGCAAGAAGATGCTGCTGGAGGACCCACAGCAGAAAGCCCACAGCATTCACAGGGTGCAGTGTACACATACGCACCTCATACACATTGTTTTTCCTGAACTAAAATTACTCTAAGTTCAGTCTGTTTGAGCCACACAGATAAAATTAAGCAGAAAGTAAATCTACAGGTGAAGAAAAAAGTAAAACCAATCTACTCAAACTATTCTATATATCAAAACATTAAAGAGTTATGAATGAGCACATTGCTAATAGTACAAATTCAGTAAATACTACAAACATTCAGCTCTATACAGACTAATGTATATATTCCATTTTTTTTACAGTTAATTTCAGTATACAGCTGTAATGGAAAATTAGAAATGAACACGATTCATTATGCAGTAATGGAGAACAGAAAGGAATTACTGTTTTCTGTCACATATGCAATCACATGAGTGCACTATGATAACAGTTCTCCATCAGATCTTAAATCCATCTACCCCTGTCCTTGGCATCCCCCAGTGCCAGCAGCAGGTAACAAGGACAGGGAGCAATGTGCGGGCAGCAAGCTGTGCTACTTTCTCCAGAATACTCAAGCAGCTTTCCCTATGCAACAAGAAAATAACATGAGAACTGGGTTCTGTCCTCACTGAGAAGTGGCATCTTGGGTTTTAACATGCTGTAGAATATTATCCCCAGGCTGTAACACTCAGTGCTGCTTATGTTTGACACATCTTAGCTTCCCATGCATATATTTAGAGCAGGGACCCTAAGAGATGCAAAATGTGTGTTGATAAATCAGAATCCAAATGCATCCAAATCAGAATCTCATTTTTGGATCAGGGTCAACAACTACAAAAAGTTATATTCCAGCTAAAGACGCAAAGTGACTTCAAGTGAATAATGTAATTAATAAAGACTTTACGTGAGAGTATCTGTATCTGGTGAGCCCACTGTAAATCAGAAATTACAATGAAGGTGCTACCTCTTATCTGGAGTTGGCCATGTTCACTTGTCACTGCAAGTGCAGGAGCCAACACGACCAAAACAAAATAGGAAACTGAAACACTTATCCTTGTGACATCAGCAGAGTAAAGCCAGCCAGCAGTGACTATGGAGGAGCATGCACACCTCCCCACTGGTCTCCCAGATGGTAGATTCAGAGACTAAGTAACAGACACTTTTAAGCCTACATTTGTCTGAAATTCAACTCAAAAGAGGGAAGAAGGAGAAAAATCTTTTCCTGTATTGATTGCATCTGTAATATACTCAAAGTTTTGTGGAACCCCTTTTGGAGCATGCTAGGCATGTAAAATTGCCTACTGGAAGTCCATGCCAAGCTTCTTCAAATCACTGTGCATGACCCTGCAGAGCAGCACAGTGAGCAGCTTGCACCCACCCACTGTCAAACAAATCAGCAGATGCAGCAGTATGATGCGTGTTAAAGAAGCAAGCTGCTCAGCATACCCAGCTAGGCTTGTAGCAGTTTCAGGGGGGATCTATGTAAAGTGCCATATATTAACAAGGGCCAACATACTGCAGTAAAGCTTAAATACCTCTGCAAGCAAAACAACATCAGATAATTAAACCAATGAAAAAACCTGTCTTGCCCATTTGCTGAATTCTTTTGGCTTTCCTTTGAGTTTAAGACATGGGTTGAAGTGCACATGCATTGTATAAGGGAAGCTGATAGGAAGAACTGTGAAAATTAGGCAATGTATTCATCTACCTGCAAAAGGCTGGATACAGATGGACTGGAACAAGTGATATACCTCAAAAATTGGTGTGAAACAGCTCCTTCCAAACATGCATAGCAAGTACTAACAGACAACCTGTATGGTCCAGTTTCAAACCTGCTTTCTTCATTACCTTGGCCATGAGCAGGACAGAGGCCTTGGCACAGACTCTGAAAGGTTTCTGCCTGCTAAATGAACCAAATGGCTCTCCAGGGCGGCTGCTGACAACTCTCAGCAGTAAAGGTAGATGTTAAATCTTGAATTAGTTTGAAGTCACGCTCATTAAACTCAGAAATGAGACACAAAGATGTTTTCAAAAAGGATGAGTTAGTCAATTTTTAATTACTTGTCAAGAAGGGGTTTTCTGAAAAGTTTTTCACAACTATGGAAAGCAATAAATATGATGTTTTATAGTTGTTTTCATTTTCATGAAAAAAAACCCACAGAATTTGAAGGGAATACATACTCTGAAAGAAGCATGCTTCAGTCAGTATTTATGTAACACTCTGTCCACAAGCACAGAGATCGAAAGAGAGTGCAAATATGGAGTATTTCCCTTAAGAACAGAATGGCTAAATATTTACAGATAAGAAAAAATAACAAGACCTTTTGTTCTGGTCATTCCCAAACTGCCTTATACTCCAATCACATAAATCTAGCATTCACACAAGTTCAGCTGCTCTGTGATTCCACAGGTTATTACTTGTAGCTTTCTGCATTCATTCTCACATTAAATCTGGCTGTGATTGTTGTGAACAACAACAAAAAAAATCAGTAGTGACAAAATGATTTACTAACATTATCAGTCATGCCAATATATTTTATAGTCTGAAATGCATTAGGTTTGGCTTGCTTTGCATCTGCAATTCACCCCTAGGTGGGCTGCTGGCAGCCTGCAGAGGCTGCTCTTGCTGACCTTAGTGGCTCATCCGACTACATTGTGCTGCTGCTTGATGAGGCCACAGCAGCAGTGCCAGAGGAGCGTGAGCCCACACCAACTGCAGTAAACTTTCAGGAAATTACTTCTTTCCCCTACCTGCTTTCAGCAAGTCCTTCCTTTTCCGCCACGGGTAATCCAGAAATCCTTTTAGCACAGCGTCTGCCACCAATTCTAACGTGTGCAGAAGCTATTTCTGTTTTCTTTCTTATTTTTCTTTTCCTCAAGTAAATGTCTGTCAAAATACTGTGCCATAAGAAAAGCACTGCCTTATGCCTCATGTCATAACTGGGGTGTGTTCCCTCATCCCACCTGCCTCTGAGCAGGGGACCTTAATACACACTGAGATGAAAATAAGGAATAAATAAGCATTTTATCTCCAAAAGTTGGGTTTGGCTTTATCACAGATTCCCTCTACTACAAATCACTTGCTGCATTTCAATCTGACCAGAGGCCATCCGTGCATTAACCAGGACCTTTATAAAAACATAATCCTAGTGCTAGATGGCTCTTGAACTCCACCACTGCAATACTACCAAGCCTGTAACACCATGACCCACGAGGACCGGCCTTTGCTACAGGGTAGGCAAGCCTTCACAAGAAGTCTGGAGACAGCATCTACTGCAAGGTACAGCAGCCAAACCTATCCCAGTGCTCAGTGGGGCAGAGATGGAGACAAGTGAAGAGGAAGACTAAGCTTCTCAGATTTCTCTCATTTGTGGCAATGTAACATTTTCACATGGGACGCTGAAGAAAACTGCAATAGACTGACACATTTCTGTCTGCTGGGAAAATCTCTTAAGCCATGAGGTAAGATTATTTTCCTCTCTTCCCCTATTTATTACCCAAGGAGGAACTGTACCTATCTGATGCTCACATATTATGCCTACCACATACAAAATCACAAAGGAGGTAGTAGGAAAAGAACTTTTTTTCTTGGAAGAATTTATTAAAAATATCTGTCGCATGGGAATCTCTGGAAAACTAGATTCTTAGCTGGTTATTACAGGAGCAATTCCAAATACAGTTTTCTGCTTCAGAGAAACAGCCTCATGCCTTTAGGCTTATCATTAGAAATTGTATTTATTATTTCCTTAAGCAGAACTTTAGCCTTAGACATTGTTCCCAATATCTTGACAATGTGCAACACTGCAGTAGTTTTGTAAATGCAACCTATTGATAATCTATCTATAAATAAAAGACAGTTTAATGTAAAAACTAGGTACTGACCATATTGCCTCCTACTAGAAACTCTGAAGAAGCAGACAGAAATCAAACATTCTTTAAAGGTTAGGGTAAGCTCTGCTACCAAGAAAATTAATCAAGAGCAATATTTTTAATTTCACTCTGTCACCACTGCTGAAACATCCACTGTTTGGTTTTGGTTGACAAATGGCAATGGATGCAATTCTTTCCATTTGGAAGAATTCAGTGACACTCCTCTGCTTCATCCAGAGTTCCATGTCAGACACCATTCTGTCAGAATGCCCTTCTGCTGCCACCTATCACACAGCAACAAAATGGAATGGAACATTGTTGGGGAGGTTCAACCTCTACTGCCATCCATCAACATCTGCCTCTGACAGCATAGGCCAACATCATACAATAGGAAGCATTACTTTCAGAGCAGCCCTTGTATGTTTCCCATGCAGTCTTTTGAATTTGTCTTGGCATAATGATAGTATCAACAGCAGCAATAGAGAATGCCTTCCCCAATCCTCCTCCCTCACTGCACATCCTTCTCCAACAGGAGGTAAAGTGTGGGCTTCAAACATCTCAGGGTGAAACTGGTGCTATTTCACTTCCTAAGGTAAAGCTCAAATCACCAAGCTGATATTTCAAAGGGATTCCACTGCCACTCTAGTCAATTTTTGAAAACCA